TAGAAAGACCCAAGAGCTAAGCCTCAATGAAAAAGATTTCTTTTGAAGAAAGCTAGCAGTCTGAAAACATGCTTCCCAGTATGCTCTCTTCGGAGAAAATATGGCCTTGCATTAGTTAGCAATATCGAAATACTGTCAACAAATTTTAGAGCTGTATTCACTCTTTAATGACTAAGCACTTGTCGAGCCATACTATGGCAGAGAAAGGTGCTTTCAGCAAAAGCTGTTCTAATTCATTTATGTGGGAAGAGAAGCTGTCCAAAGTCTATCTTGCCAGATTATTGAAGTTTGTTGCCCTCTACCAAAAAACTAAGTATAAAAACATGACACTGCAATGTGGGAAACCAAGTTTTACCATGAGCAGATCTTAAATCTGATAATGATAGAATTTTCTACATTAGACAAAAATCAAGTATACATGACACACCTTTGATGCAGACTTAAAATGGATTATTTCCATAAGTCTCACCAGGCCTATTCACTGGGGATGAGGGACATTAATAGGGAACAGAACATCAGATACTTTCTATTCACACCAATATGTATAACTACATGCATCCTGAATGTCAAAGCCATTGCTACCAAACACTAAAACTTCAATAATGGAAAACATACTAGATTATATCTAACCAAATGTTACATGTAGTCCAAGCTTGGTGCCTGTCAGTGCTCCAGCAAAGGCCAACAAGCCTCAGCCAAACAAGGTTTAATATTTGCTAACCTTTGCCAAGGAACAAATGGCTGTGTTACCAAAATTCACCAAATCAACCAAGAATCAATGATGGTAATAGAAAGGCTGCAGCATTTGATACACAAGGTAAACAAAGATTTTACTACAGGAATTTCTCACTGCTCTCAGGTAAGAGACTAATAAAATGTTTGCAATTCAAGACTTACATTACTGTCATTCACATTGCATATATCTCTTGACACTACTGTAACTTATTAAAAATTTAACACTTTTTTAATTCACAACACATGGATCAGAATTGCCATTGGTAAGACAAATATTTCGAATTCTTTCTCCATTTCCACTTGTCCAAATTAATAAAAAAAAAACAATAATCAATCCCGCTAGGCCAACAGCTGACATGAAATATGCAAGTCTGTAAGAACAACAACAAAATAGTTCATTAAGCTGATGGCTACACACCCCCAAAATATAATCCCAAACATTGTCAACGAGAAAAGTGACAAAATAGAATGAAAAGAGGCTATAGAATTAAATTAAATGAGGCACAAATAACACGAGTCCCGACCACACACCACAGCCTCTCTCTTACACCACCCCGTTGGCAGTCTTCGCATGGCACTGTCACCATGCACCCGCCCCACCACACTCCACCACCGCCTCACCACACCGCATTCCCAGTCCTCAGGCAATCAAAGGCCGTCATTTAAAGGCCGCCCGACGTCGCAGCAGCAGGAACGTCGTGCGGCGGAATCCTCCATGTTGGAGAGCCTGCGACCCTCCACGGGCACTCCTCCACGTCGAAATCGCATTATTTCCCTCAATTTCATTCCTCCAATCGACGATACTACGCGAGGGTGTTTTACGAAACCGGTGCGTACCACTTCCCAGGCGTGCATGACACAGTGACGCATTACAAAGGGAGTTTAGACGGAGGACGCCCGATCGTGATCCTCTCTCCCACGTCTCATCTCGTACTAAACAAGGCGGCCGTCTCCTCCTCCTCGCGCATCCGTCCGATTCCCTGTAAGAGAAATTTCTCATTTTTTTAATTTCATATTTTTTGTAGGGTTTTGTCAAGGTTTATGAAGAATATGTCGTGGAGAATTTAATTTTAGAAACTTATCTGATGTTGGTAATTTAAATTGTTGATTCTAAGATCGCTTTGAATGTTAATCAGAATACGCCAAGGATACAAGTAAGCTCCTTCAGGCCATTCAGACGCAATGCAAAACGATTTTACATACACTTCATAAATGTCGGAAGACCATTCAGATAGAAGTATTCTTTGCATTCACACTTAAATGATGAAATGAAAGCACTTGTCTATCTGATGGTCATGAAAGAAAAAAACGAGTGAGTGCTTTTATGCTCGCGATCCTTCAAATACAATCCATCTTTTTTCGCGCTCATTAATTCATGCAGTTTTACTACACTTGAAAACCATTAGGAAATAAAGTTCATTGTTACTCTTTATGAATAAAGTAAGAAAGTTAAACCATTTCTTTCTATGAAAATAAAATAAAATTAAAAGACAGACATTCTGAGAAAAGCCATAATATCCTTTGTTAAGCAAATTCGCATACATACACATGGCAGCATTATTACATACACATGGCAGCATTATCATTACGTTTACGATTATTATCATATATTATACTTATACTTATACTTATCATATACATATACTTATCATATTATCATACTTATCATACTTATCATATTATACATATACATCATATTACATACATACATCATATTACATACATACATATATACATCATATTACATACATACATCATATTACATACATACATCATATTACATACTTATCATATTATATTATCATACTTATCATACTTATCATATTATCATACTTATCATATACATATACTTATCATATACTCGCGATCCCTCAGAAAAGGGTTTCCCGCGCTCCCCGCTCACAGCACCAACAGTTTTTTTTTTCTCTCTGTGCTGATAAATCCCTACCTTCCTCAATTATTAATGACATCAAGAAGTTAAACCATAGAATCAGCCTCACCTCATTGAAGAAGAAAAAAAAAATGAGATTGACATTTCAAGTGATGTTTATGCTCACCATTCTCTGGAAAACTAATAATAAACTGCCACAGATATAGAAAAGTATCGATTATAGAAAATAAACCGGAGAAATCAACTTATTCCTCCACTTTATAATAAGAAAAAAAAAAAAAACGTTAATGATTCCGAAATCCTCCTTTATACTCGTAGTCCCTCAGATACGAAAGGGTTAATAATCTGCCACAGATATAAAAAAGTATCGATTATAGAAAATAAACCGAAGAAATCAACTTATTCCTCCACTTTATAATTCAAAAGAAAAAAAAACCGTAAATTATTCTGAAATCCTCCTTTATACTTGCAGTCCCTCAGATACGAAGGGGTTAATAAACTGCCACAAATATAAAAAAGTATCGATTGTAGAAAATAAACTGAAGAAATAAACGTAATCCTCCACTTTATAATAAAAAAAACCGTCAATGATTCTGAATTCCTCCTTTATACTCGCAGTCCCTCAGATACGAAGGGTTTCCCGCGCTCCAACATGGCGGGTGAGTCCACGCTCCCTCAGTGTCGCCGGGGAAGCTCAGGGGATAGGCTGCCACAATGCCTTCGCTCGCGGCTGATGGTATCGTGCTTTCGGCTCTTGGCTTTCGAATTGTTGTGTGGAAAGGCTTTTTGAGACGGTCAGGCTTTTCATTCGAGGAGATATGACGCCGGAGCAGTTTGTCTCTCCAGTATAGGGTCCCTGTCATGATACGATTTTGAACTGTTATTCTCACTTTCATGCTACTTGATTTTATTTATTTATTTTATTCTCACTGCCTTATGCTACTCTATGCCATCGCTGTCTTATGCTACTTTATGCCTTTATGTGGCTGACGTTACTCCCTCAGGGCCTTGGTGGGGCTCCCAGGACAGCTCTCGGCGCGTTTGTTTGTTTGTTTTGTTTCCCTCGTTTCCGCCTGGCCTTTGGGGAATCGCAGCGGGAAGTCTTAAACGAGGCCCAGAGAGAGCCCAGTGCAGTTCCCTTTGAGGCCGCTCCAGTAGCCGTCCAAATAGCCGCTTGAAGAAGGCAGTCAGTGACCCCTGACCTCAGTGACCCCTGACCTCAGTAACCCCTTCCTCAGTGACCCCTTCCCTCAGTGACCCCGGCACCCTCTGGCGCTTCTGCACTCCGGCAAAGGGACGAGGTTGCAGATTTGCACGGCAGGGGAGTCGCTTCAGCCTCCGGCATTTTTTTTTACCGAGGGTGACGCGGCTCCCGAGGCCAAATCCCAGAACCAGGGTATCGCGCGAATCAAATCCCAAACCTAAACTTTCCTGCCTTCTCTTTATTCTCTCTACGCTCTTTCCTGCCTTGTCTTTATTCTCTCTACGCTCTTTCCTGCCTTGTCTTTATTCTCTCTACGCTCTTTCCTGCCTTGTCTTTATTCTCTCTACGCTCTTTCCTGCCTTGTCTTTATTCTCTCTACGCTCTTTCCTGCCTTGTCTTTATTCTCTCTACACTCTTTCCTGCCTTCTCTTTATTCTCTCTACGCTCTTTCCTGCCTTGTCTTTATTCTCTTTATTCTCTTTCCTGCCTTGTCTTTATTCTCTTTATTCTCTTTCCTGCCTTCTCTTTATTCTCTTTCCTGCCTTCTCTTTATTCTCTTTCCTGCCTTCTCTTTCTCTTCTCTCTATTGCGTGCCTCGTGCCAGCCTACAGGAAGTGGACGTTGAGAACCTGGGCATGTGAGGGGGTTAGGGGGTTGTGGACTCTTGAGTGGTGATCGCAGTGGGTATTTTTGAGGACTCTGGTGTAAATACGAGGCAGGAGCAGCTGTACCAGTGATGTTTATTACTCCATTTATTACACTATAAGAGGGCAGTGTCTGTGTCACTCTCATTAACACTAATACTGCTTTTTCTTCTGGGGGTGGGGGGGGGGGCAGGGTTGGTGGTCGAAGCGAGCACAGTCGGTTTCTGGTTCTGCTCACCTCCGAGGAAATCTTTTTTTTTTTGAGAAATGAGCTAGTCTAGGAGCATCTCTAGGCCATGATCAGAGCTACTAAAGTATAATTTCGGCAAGAAAATCTGGAAGTGTGACCTCCCCCCCCCCCCACACACACACACACACAAATGATGCCCCTGATGTAAAGTCAGAAAGGACATGTTGACTCCTGTGGTGACACATTTGACAAGGATCCAGTCTAGGCTCTCTTGCCAGACCTCCGACAGGTTGGTTTGGACTTTACCAGAGTGCCAAAGGCAAGGAGGTTTTCGGGAGTTGCTCTTAGAGTTTGGCCACGACAAGCTCGTAATTGGAATTAATCCAGTGCAATATATCTGACCATCTTCATCAAGGAGGTATGTCATCAGATCACTTATGAGAATAGAGTACGTCGGCTGAGCTGCACAAACAGCGACCCAGTTGCCCAGAGGACCCGAAGTCTCGCGGGCTCATTTGCAGGGATTGTTTAGGGCCTTTTGAGGTCCATATTTATTGACCAGAATGATGATGAGGCAATAATCATAATATTGATTCAGATACTCTCTTTCCTGGAGGGAATGAGGATAGCATTAGTAGATTTTAATATTTTCTCAAGGTTAATCCATGTAGTGATAAGATAGTTATGTAAGTCAACCACATTATTTGTAATGGCATAGTTAATGACAATGACATCTTGTATAATATGACCAAATCTTTGTGTAATATGATGTTGATTGTGAATTTCATAGGAGTGGCTGGGGTAATAGAAACCACATAGGGCATTAGAGGGGTCAGTCACTTAGTAAACAGTTTCCAAAAGATATTAGATGGGCAGCAGCAACAGATTCACACATATTACAGTGCACATAACTGAAAAAGGAATAATAATGGCAATGACTGTAACACCTTTCTTGCTATTTACATTTTATACCCATTTTGTGGCCGGGCACCCATGTTAAGGTATGATCTCTCCCCAACCCCTTCCTCTCCCAGACCATGGTTATTACATAGTATAATAGTCTAGTGTCATATAATCAGTCAGGTGAACACACTCCCTGCTTCACTCTCCTGTGAGGCAGGGGTAGTGCAACAAGCTTCTCACAGCTCTGTGGTAAACCATGTAAATTTGCCTATAATGGATTAAACCACAGAAAATAAGACAATTCATCATTTCATAAGAAATCTGCACAACACTGGTCTGCAATTATAGGTAAATGTAATGACACTATCATAATGAAAACTTAAAATTACACTTTCATATACATGAAAGAAGCTGTGTAGCAAACAGTAAGTCAGAAATGAAGTAAATAGGTTGTGACTAATGCTGCACAGTGAATCTACTGTTATCAGGTGGGGGTCTGGGGGTTAAAATTGGGTAAACCATGTAATTTGCCTATAACTGGATAACACAGAAAAATAAGACAATTCATCATTTCATAAGAAATCTGCACAACACTGGTCTGCAATTATAGGTAAATGTAATGACACTATCATAATGAAAACTTAAAATTACACTTTCATATACATGAAAGAAGCTGTGTAGCAAACAGTAAGTCAGAAATGAAGTAAATAGGTTGTGACTAATGCTGCACAGTGAATCTACTGTTATCAGGTGGGGGTCTGGGGGTAGAGTCCTTGACAGGGAAATAGAGCAATTGAGTCTTGGGCAAAGCCTCATATTAAGGTGTTTGACTTGTATGATGAATGTGGATCCCCCGATGCGGCTGGAGTAATAGGGACTGTCCAGTGTGAATAATAAAAAACAAGGAATAATAATTGCAAGGTTGAAAGGTTGTGAGAAACTAGATAATTACCAACATACATGGTCACCTGATCTTACTAGTGAATGAAATTCAATAATAAATTAAATGTTTAATTATTACATACTGGGCCCGCCTTGGTGAAGGGATAATGTGCATATCTTGGAACCATGAGGGTCAGTCACTGAGTGCACAAGTCCAAATCCTGCTCCAATAATCCTAGATTAAGGGGAAGGGTATCCAGTTGGGGTAAAGGTCTCTACCTGCCAAAACAAAAATCCTTCAAAGAAGGCACTGTCTCTTGTGAGAGCTGATGTAAAACTGAATCAAAGAGTAAGAGCTACAGGACCATATATTTGTGAAAATATTTTGCTGCTGCAAAAATTTCTTGCATACTCCTTTTCTGTCTTTATCTGGCATTGTACCATGGTCGGTCTCTGGACACTTTGCATCAGATTGTCAAGGTGTAGGCTTGATGTGGTTGCCCCCTTAAGCCAATGTAATCTTAGTGTCAAGAATTACCAGTGGTAATTGTTCAGAATACTTGAGTGTCACAGTTTACAACATTAGTACCAATGGATTCCTCACACACTCTGTACCCCACAAAGCTGGCCTTGGTAAAAGAGGAGGATATATGCTAACAATACAACATAGTTGTGAATATTAATGCTGCTATGCATATCTCTACCTATTGCCCACCCCCACACACGCGTGTCTAGTTCCTTGATGTTTTTCTTATTTTTCAGGTGTATCTGGCATAGCTAAAAGCTCCCTCCAGCACTATGTTATTGATAGTAATGAAGCTCTGGAATTTAAGCTAGGTAAGTTTATTCATTTGTGTGAAAATGTATGGTAAGTTTATTCATTTGTGTGAAAATGTATAACACTTACCATGTATATATATTCAGAAAAAGGCATCCTAGTGTGTGCATAGTAATAAATAATGGAAATATTTTTAGTGCGGGCAGCAGCTGACCTCGAAGATGAGGAGACTACATTCAAACCTGGCATGTCTCATCAGGTTTACGGTGACAG